AGCGCAAGGATTACAGATGTGAGCCACCGCACCTGGCCTTGAATTCTTTTTATAAAAAAAATTTATTTACATTTTATATAATATTAGTTGAGGAAATCATACATCTTCCATTTTTAGCTGTTATTATGTGCTGGTGTCTTTTTCTTTTTGCATACACACACAAAAAGCTTCAAAAAGAAATCTTTCCTCATTTAATAAATCTCCACTTTTCAAACAATTCATCACAAAGTTTATGCTTGAATTTTGGTATTTGGCATTCAAATATACACAAATAAAAATAGATAATAGCAACCACCCACAAAATTGAGCTGAGCTAACTTGATAATCTCACAGCTGTCTTGTAGTGTGTCTGTCACTCACAAGTCTGAACTCAGAACTAACATCAAAAGGTTGAACCATTGAAGCATTACAAACTTGCAAACTAATAATCAATTGAAGTGGCCAGGTGTGGTGGCTCACGCCTGTAATCCAAGCACTTTGGAAGGCGGAGACTGGTGGATCACAAGGTCAGGAGATGAAGACCATACTTGCCAACATGGTGAAACTCGGTCTCTTACTAAAAAAAATACAAAAATTACCCGGGCGTGGTGGCACATGCTTGTAATGCCAGTTACTCAGGAGGCTGAGTCAGTAGAATTGCTTGAACCCCGGAGTTGGAGGTTGCAGTGAGCCAAAATCGCGCCACTGCTCTCTAGCCTGGTGATAGAGTGAGACTCTATCTGAAAAAAAAAAAAAAAATCAATCGAAGTAGAGTTGCCATTGAAGTGGCCTGAGATGGCTATCCTATCCTTGGCTGGTATCTGGGAACGTGAATTTTGGGAAGGTTTGGGAACCTGGATTTCAGAAGGGTTCCCCCAACCCTTACTGATCAAATGGCTCCATTGTACCTAAATAATATGGTTTCTGCGGAACACCTACTTTTTTTCTGGGAATCTGGAATTTTGATTTGTGCACAATAGACAGTGTCTACATGACCAGTCCCCAATAAAAAGTCCAGCACTGAGTTTCTAAGGAGCTTCTGTGACAACATTTCACATTTATTGTCACAGCGTGTGGCTTTTGGAATTCAGGCACATCTATGTGACTCCACTAGGAGAGGATGCTTGGAAGCTGGTGTCGGTTTCTCTGTGACATGGCCCTGTGACCTCTCCCCTTTGCTGACCTTGCTGTAATAAGTCACAGCCATAGTGTGACTATATGCCAAGTCCTGTCAGTCCTCCTACCAATTTGTTAACCCAGAAGTGTTCTTGTGAATCCTCAATACAGCTGGCATCAGAAGCAAATTTTTTTACTTCTCACTCTGTCACCCAGGCTGGAGTGCAGTGGCACAATTATAGCTCATTGCAGCTTGACTCCTGGGCACAAGTGATCCTCCTGCCTCAGCTGGGACTACAGGTATGTATCCTCCCGAGTAGCTGGACTACAAGCACGTGCCACCATCCGGGTTCTTTTATTTTCTGTAAAGGATGGGGTCTTGCTATGTTGGCTCAGGTTTTATCTTGAGCTCCTGGCCTCAAGTTATCCTCCTGCCTCAGCCTCTCAAAGTGCTGAGATTACAGGTATGAGTCATTGCACCTGGTCCAGAAGTGGAATTTGCTAGAACAACCCTGACTCACTAAGATTTGGCTCCATCACTGTTTGGGAAAAGGAAGAATGAAGGGGAATGGTGATAAGCCTTTGATAACTGGGTGTCTATGGAGCCCTCCATGGTTGGAGAGCCACAGCTGAACTGCTATCTGCTGTTAGAAGCCACAGTGATCTATGGGGTTAGAAACGGATCCAACCCTGGCTTCTTTGAGCTGTGCTGGATGAAGTGAGGGGGGAAATATGCACCTGGGTGATGCCTTTGTTTTTTGTTCTCTTCTCCAGGTGGGAGGTAAGAAAAACAACAGTGACAAATTATAAAGGTGAGTACTGGGTGGCCCCAAAATGTTAAAAGTTCTCAGAGCTGGAGCAAAGCTGGTGTGGGAGGATGGGAGGGTGGGGAGGATGCCAAGACTCTATCCAGCCTCTTCTTCAGCCCGGCTGCTGCCCTGTTGCAAGAGCTGCCTCTTTCTTTGCCACCCGTGTACCCTCCCCAATCTGCTTTCCAACCTGAATAGTTCCCACAGCAGTAATGCTAACCTAACTGCAAATGCTGGATTTACTGCTATGGGTTTAGTTTGCAATAGAAAAATATGTTTAATGGCTTTGTGTTTTGTGGCTATTACATCTAGATGTATTGATATGATAAAATTGATATAAAATGTTAAATGCTTTCAATTTCATAAATTCTAGAGGGAGCACACTGGTCAGGAAAAGTTGCAGAGGAAAGTGAGTGTGACACAACTTCCTTGCTTTTTGCAGCTAGTGGGCAGCTTGGAATTTAAATTCTCAATACTGGAAACAGAACAATTCTCCAAAATTAACAATTTTTGCTACGTTTTTTGCCTATTGGAGCCACTGGAAAAAAAGCAGACAATATGAAGAGAGGCAATCTTGAGCTAGAGATATGCTTTGGAATTTACAAATCTGTTTTTCATCTCTAATGAGCTCTTGTAAGATCATATAGCTGACACTCAGAGGCTGATGATTTTCTGGCCCCATGTGTATAGTTTTCAGTTAGTCAGCTTGGACCCTAAGGTGAATAAGGTAAACAGAGCCCAACAAAACCTTGCTTGTCACTCGGCTAAGAACATAGCTGTCTGGCCCTGCAGCATCTCAGTCTCCAGTTACTGGAAGAAAATATATTAGATGCTGGGGAAACTATAAGGCTACAGGGTGACACTACATGTTGGCAGGGAGAATTGTTCAAGGTAGAAACTGTGGGGAGCAAAGAGAGAGATTCTCATCTGTGTAGCTGCTGCTATGTGCTAATATGGGGGTAAGAAAACTGTTAAGGAATAAAAAGGCCAAGACCTCTGTCCTCACAGGATTTTCAGGCTAGACAGGAAAGTGGTCACCGTACAAATTGTATACAACTCCACTAGTACTTAAGAGGTCTGATTTATTGCTTTGAAACACAAATGCAGGATGTTTAAGGATTATCAGCAGCCTTTCCCTTTGTGGAAATTGTAAACTAAAAATAAAATCCTAAGCCCCCACCAACTGAAGGACACTCCCCTTAGCCAATGGGACTCCAGAAAAACCTTACAACTGAGTTCCTGGCCATGACGAGATGGAGGTCAGACATGTCTCATTATACCCTCTCATGTTTGTGATTTAGACACAGCAACTGACAGCATTAATGTTAAAATAGAGATCGTAAGACTGGCAGAACAGACTTTCGTGGCAATGAGATACCAAATTATAAACAAGACCTAAGGCCATGCCAGGCAAGGGTTAGGTCAAGCACCTTAAACTTAAAGAGTAAACTATGGTCTGACTGCCACAGGGTTTTTCCTTTTTCTCTAGAAGCTAAATAAACACTGACCTTGAAATAAGCAAAATGGAAACAATTGTAGCTCATCACCAGACACTAATTTGCTCCCAGCCCCTGTCCCAAGCACCATAACTACAGCTTTGATTAGACAAGAGACTGATTTCAGTAACTTTCTCCTGATAGGAAGACCACCCACCATAAACTGGTTCTGGCTGGGTTTACAGAGGTTGCACACTTGAGTGCCTTCATGTCCTGAAAAGACCTTTTGACTGATAGGGCCTAATTATAATACATTCAAATGTTAGGTCTCCACCCCAGAGTGAACATGGGTCATATGTTACATGCATATTGGTTCAATATACGTGCATCAGGACCACCTTCATGCATACTCATAGCTCCTCCTGTAACCTGTTGAAGATGTATGTTTAGCTAACTTGTCCAGCATAATGCTCCTACCCCAACCTATCTTCCTTCAAAGTGCCTGTCCCTGGTCTTAGCCAGAGGCATTCTTCTCAGCCTGTTGCAGGCTGTAACCCCCTATAAGAAATAAAGCCTCCTCTCCATTCCAAATAGTTAAATCTTAGGTTTTTTTGTTGTTGTTTTGTTTGTTTTGTTTTGTTTTTGTTTTTGTTTTGTTTTGAGATGGAGTTTCGCTCTTGTCGCCCAGGCTGGAATGCAATGGTGCAATCTTGGGTCACTGCAACCTCTGCCTCCCGGGTTCAAGCAATTCTCTTGCCTCAGCCTCCTGAGTAGCTGGAGGCACCTGCCACCACGCCCGGCTAATTTTTATATTTTTAGTAGAGATGGGGTTTCACCATGTTGGCCAGGCTGGTCTCGAAATCCTGACCTCAGGTGATCTACCTGTCTCCGCCTTCCAAAGTGCTGGGATTACAGGCGTGAGCCACCGTGCCCAGCCTAAATCTTGTGATTTTAAAATTTAACAGAGTCAGTTAAATGGTTCCATGATAGAGCGACATTTAAGGCAGACATTAGTTTTTATTGCCCCATAACGCTTCAGTAAGTTTCCCTGAATGTTTGCATTTACTTGTCAATCAACTCACAGGGAGTGAGGCAGAAGTAAACCCCACAATTACCTTACCCCTGGCCTATGTGATAAAGTAACATATTTTTTATCATATATTTGAGAGGCATCTCTGCTACTAGGAACTTTTTTTTTTTTTAACCTTTTAGGTTTGGGGCATATGTACAGGTTTGTTATGTAGGTAAACTCATATCACAGGGGTTTGTTGTACAGATTATTTCATCACCCAGGTACTAAGCCTAGTACCCAATAGTTATCTTTTCTGATCCTCTCCCTCCTCCCACCCCACCCTCATGTAGGCCCAGTGTCTGCTGTTTCCCTTTGTGTCCATGAGTTCTCATCATTTAGCTCCCACTTATAAGTGAGACTGGGTGACTGCTGACCTGCATCTCTCTTGGGTGGACCTCCCAAGACATAAGCAAAAGACCCTTGACCACAACCACTACCAAGGTCCCTTTCTCCTCTGCCTCCAAGTTGGGGAGGAAACATAAGCCCTAAGATCACCCCAGAGCTGTGGTGGGAAGCCCAGGAGAGATAAAACCTGAGTAGTTTTAAACTAGAATATGCATGTAGCTTTTTAAAGATGTTTGCAATATTTTTGCTATTCTCCCCTTGAGATTTTGGGGTCTATGCCCACCCTTACCAGACTGGACACTAGTGCTCACTTGTCACTGACACATTACATGAAAGTGATGCTGTGTAACTTTCAAAGTTATGTTTAAAAAGGCCTGGTTCACTCAGGTCACTCACCTGTGTGCCCTTGACCACCAAGTCAAAGCTCTGAATGTCCTAAGACTGTTCTGCTACCTGGAAGCCCAGGGTACCTGGGAGGTCTCCTATAGGCCCTGCAGCCAAAGTCCCATGTCCTCTGCAGACATGTGAGTGAAGTCACTTCCAGATGATGCCAACCCTTTGCTATGGATTCAACTCTAGCCAATGAGTCTTCTCTGCAGTCCCCAAACACCAATGAGCAGCAATAAGCCATCTTTTCTGTGCCTTCCTAGCCCTGTGAACCATGAACAAAATAAAGTGGTTGTTTTATGCGTTATTTGGTGCTGGTGGTTCTTTCTTAAAAAAAAAAAATCACAGTAAAAGCACCAAGAATAACACACTTGTAAGACATTCAAAAGGTACAAAGTAACATACACTGAAATCTAGGTTTCCTTCTTTCCCTCTTCCACAACCTATCAGGTTCTGCTTCTGGAAGTAACAATGGTTAAGTTTCTGCACATCTTTCCAGATTTGTTAATTAAACAATCATATAGCACTGACACAGTGAGGAAGCTTTTTAAAGGCTTTACTTACATTTATTCATTTACTCTTCATTCACTGTGGACACTCAGGTGGCAGGAGGAAGGAAAGTATTTTGCTCAACCAAATGAAAGTCTGATCTGCTCTTTGAATGCTGTTCCCTCAATCATATGGTTCTATTTTCTTGATATATTCCCAAATCTTTATTATTTTCTCCCTAATTGAGCATTCAGAGATGTAATGCTGTTTTCTAGTTTTTCTTCCGTTTCACCACTAAATCTTAAATTTCATATGAGACAGGCAGTGATGAAATTCCTGAGTCACTGGACATATGTATATGTATGTTTGTGATGGTAACACACACACACACACACACACATATTTTTCTATCTAGTTATTAACCATTAACATTCTATACTCAGAGTGAGGAAATATTACACGTTCCTTCCCAAACTCTGTCAACTACCCCCTCACTTAAATAATCCCTGAAAAAATGGCAACATCCATATTAATGCAGTTTTTATCTCATCAATGACCCATTTGATAAAATAGTTCTAGAAACTTGTAATGCATCAGCAATGATGGAAATTTGTACTGAACCATTTCATATCTAAAAGGGTATCTACTTTGTTTTAGACATGACAACTCTGTCATGTTTATTTTAGAATTTTCCATTGCTGCATGTTTAAAGGGCTTGTCAATTCCCCTCCCTTTCCTAATTTTCATGACCAGATCATAAGAATGTGTGTGATCAGGCTGACTGATGTGCCACAACACATATTTAATCCTGGAATTTAGGGTTATCAGAAGTCTCCATTTAAAAAAGAATTAATTATATGTTTTCAAACAGCCGGCTGGTGAATATATAGTGCTTCATTTTTCTTAATGTCTCAGTGAATAGCCAGCCTTTTATGTATACATTAATAGAGGATCTCTCAAAAAATTCAGAGATTCAGAAATAAGTACATAAACTTAATTGCATAGAGAGAAAAAACAGGTACTATACATAAGTGATAGAAGAAGGTTTTATATAATTATTTTTTAAAACTAAATTTATAATAATGCTTTTTAAACTAAATCTGGAACAAATTTTAAATTATTTAATCTAGAAATGTCCAGTGATTCAGGAACAGTAGAAATGGGTGGGGAGGGCATTTCAACTCAAGCATGGAACTCCTTTTATTCTCAACATGTTAGCTTTTTCTCTCTTCACTCTGAAATGTTCACTATCAAATATATTTGAGAGACAGGTCTTTTTTCCTCATTTAACATTTATTTCATACACAGAGAATAATACTGTGGGTCTGGGATTCAGTTTTTGAAATGCAACGTATAATCTAAGTGACCATTTACCCATGTCAAAGTAGCAGCAGTTGGACCCCATAATGTGGCATGTATTCACTAGAAAATTCTACAGTGACCTATCACTGTGATCATGTGATGAACCATATCTTGCCTTCCATTCTAATCATCACTCTGTGAGCTTCGAGATTCAAGGTTGACAGCATTTGTCAATTTCAAAATGTCATACAAAGAGTGCTCAAATATGGGGAATTTTGTGTACTGTTGCTGAGACATGTTCACTTTCACCTTCTGATTGTGGTTTCTTCAAATAGGCCAATTCACTTGTACTCAAAATGTCTTCCTCATTTTTTTGTTTCTCCCGCTCCAATTTGTCTATGGATTTATGAGCATGTGTTATAGTATTATTACTGATTTGTACTTTTGATTCTTCCACCAAGCTTTTTGTCTTAAATATTTTCCTATTTTTAGAAAAATGTAGTGTTTCTCCACACCACTTTTGTACCCAATCTTTCATAGAATAGATACAGAAAAAACACAACCACACTGCCTTCATCAGATGAAGAGAATCTTGATACCAAATACAATATGAGACATTCCATGAAAGGGAAATTATAGACCAAAGTCTTCTGAGTATAAATGTCAAAATCTGAAACCAAATATTAGAGTGGCCTAAATCTGGAGATTTTTAGGAAAAAAACTGAAATTTCATGGTGGGAAACATAATTTTGCCTAGTTTAGAAGTTTTGAGGGGTTGTTTTAAAGAAAAATTTAAAAGATAAATAATATTAAATGAATATAAAGAGTTATAAAATAAAAATATTATAAAAGGTTATCAAAATGTTTATGAAATTATTTTGCAGTCAAGATTGATTGGGATTAGATTTGTTTATAAGGTCTTATTAAAATTAGCCATAATATTAAAAATACATTAATACCCAACTAAATTTAAAAAAAAAAATAAGCTTAAGATTTGTTCTCCATCAAACTTGACAAAAAGTGTATGTATTCCCGTGTGCCAGAGTGCCAGGTCACCACATAACAATTATGTTGGGTTTGCATATTTGATGATGTGTCGCTACCAGGATGCCATCTGGGTCTTCGCCAACATCCTCCTCTAGATCCAGAGGACCAAGAGCATGTTCCAGAGGACCACATACAAGTATGAGATGATTAACAAGCAGAATGAGCAGACGCATGCGCTACTGGCCATTGCTCTCACGATGTACCCCATAGGTATCGATGAAAGTATTCACCCCCAGCTACAGAAGAAATATGGGGACAAGATGCTGCACATGCAGAAAGGTGACCCACAAGTCTATGAAGAACTTTTCAGTTACTCCTGCCCCAAGTTCCTGTCGCCTGTATTGCCCAACTACGATAATGTGCACCCCAACTACCACAAAGAGTCCTTCCTGCAGCAGTTGAAGGTGTTTTCTGAAGTACAGCAGCAGGCCCACCTTTCAACCATCCCCGGCTTCCTCAAGCTTTACATCACCATGCCTGTGGCCAAGCTGGCTGGCTTCCTGGACCTCACAGAGCAGGAGTTCAGGATCCAGCTTCCTGTCTTCAAACACAAGATGAAGAACTTGGTGTGGACCAGCGGCATCACAACCCTGGATGGTGAATTTAGTCAGCCTCAGAGGTTAACTTCTACATTGATAATGACATGACCCACATCGCAGACACCAAGGTCGCCAGGTGCTATGGGGATTTCTTAATCCATCAGAGCCACAAATTCGAAGAGCTTAATCGAACTCTGAAGAAGATGGGACAGAGACCCTGACAACATTTACACACATTATTTAGGAACCGGTTTTGATATATTATAGGCAGGAAGTGTTTTTGCTACCATGAAACCTTTACCTAGATCAGCCATCAGCCTGTCAACTCAGTTAACAAATTAAGGACCAAAGTGTTTCAAGTGGATATCAGTAAAGGATCTTTGGAGCCAGGAAAAAAAAAAAAAAAAATTGTTCTCAATGAGATTACATGTGGTAATAATTTTTAATTCTCAAATCTGTTTCTTCTTGAAACTTCTGAGATTTATATCTCAGAAGTTCAACCTTTACTATATTTTTTTACACATTACTTACAGATCATACATCATTGCCCTCTCTTTCCTTTCTGCTTCAAAAGGTGTATCTTTTTACTTCACTACAATGGTAATTTTGTCCTTCATCTTTTCCATCAACTCTTTTAACTTTTCCCTCATATTCTATTTCTGCTGTTATAATACTGAAATATTGATCTCAAAGGTTAAAAAAAAATTTCTCAGATGTAACATGATTTTATCCTCTTAACATTTTGATATGTCTGAATTGATGCATGCAATCAGGAAACTTCCCATGCTATTATCAGGTTGGTGCACAAGTAATAGTGGGTTTTGCCATTACTTTCAATGGCAAAACTGCAATTACTGGTGCACCAACCTAATATTAGGAGCCATATATCCACCTGCTCAAGGTGCTAGTTTTCATGTTTACATTCCTCTATAATACAATGTTCACTCATGGCCTTGAATACATTGTGCTTGTGTCTAATTAATTCAAGTATCCCTTTCATCAGGTTTGACTTCAAGTTATTTAAACAGACTTTATTTAGGCACTTCCCATTCTCAAGTGTGCCTCAGTCCAGGTTGCTCAGATAGTTGCTCAGATTAAGTCAGTGAAACAGTTGGGGTCACAAATTTAATTCATCAATCCACTAAAGAATCAGCCCAGATAGCCATATTTTCAGTTAATTTCAATTAGCTGCTCATGAAGGGTTGGCCAGTTGAATGGAAGTTGATTCTTGGCACAGCCATCAAGTGGCAATTGGTTTAAAATGTCTTGATTTCTGAGTCATCTTGGGGGCTGATACAGTTTGGATATGTGTCCCTGCCCAAATCTTATGGTGACTTGTAATCCCCATTATTGGAGATGACTGGGTGAGAGGTGACTGGGTCATGGGAGTGTATGTCTCATAAATGGTTTAGCATCATCCCCTTGTTGCTGCTCTTGCAATAGGGAGATCTGGTTTAAAAGTGTGTGACACCTCCTCCTACCTTGCTCCTGCTCTGGCCATGTGATGTGCATGCTCCCACTTAGCCTTCTGTTACGATTCTAAGTTTCCTGAGGCCTCCCCAGAAACCACGCAGATGTCAGTATCATGCTTCCTGTAAAGCTTTCAGAACCCTGAGCCAGTTTAAATTACCCAGTCTCAGGAATTTGTTTTTTGGTTGTTGTTGTTTTGAGGGGGTTGTTTGTTTTGAGACAGAGTCTCACTCTGTCGCTCAGGCTGGAGTGTAGTGGCGTGATCTCGGCTCACTGCAACCTCCTCCTCCTGTATTCAAGCAATTCTCCTCCCTCAGCCTCCTGAGTAGCTGAGATTACAGGCGCATGCCACCACGCCTAGCTAATTTTTGTACTTTTAGTAGAGACAGGGTTTCACCATGTTTGTCAGGCTGGTCTTGACCTTTTGACCTCATGATCTGCCCACCTCGGCCTCCCAAAGTGCTGGGATTACAGATGTGAGCCACTGCACCTGGCCAGGAATTTCTTTATAGCAATGTGAGAATGACCTAACACAGAAAACTGGTACCAAGGAGTGGGGTGTTACTATAAAGGTACCTGAAAATGTGGAAGCAGCTTTGGAACTGGGTAATGGGCAGAGGTTGAAAGAGTCTGGAGAACTTGGAAGAAGACAGGAAGATGAGGGAAAGTTGAGAACTTCTTATAAACTGGTTAAATGATTCTGACCAAAATGCTGATAAGGATATGGAAAGTGAAGTCCAGGCTGATGAGTTCTCAGATGGAAATGAGGAACTTATTGAAAACTAGAGCAAAAGTCACACATGTTATGCCTTAGCAAAGAGATTGGCTGGATTGCATCCATGTCCTAGGGACCTATGGAAGTTTGAACTTGAAGAGTGATATCGTAGAGTATCTGGCAAAAAAAAAAATTTCTAAGCAGCAAAGTGTTCAAGAAGTGGCATGGGCCAGGCATGGTGGCTCACACCAGTAATCCTAGCACTTTGAGAGGCCAAGGCAGGCAGATCACTTGACCCCAGAAGTTCAAGACCAGCCTGGGAAACATGACAAAATCCCATCTCTAAAAATATAAAAAAATAGCTGGCGTGGTGGCTTCTAGTCCCAGCTACTCAGGAGGCTGAGTTGGGACAATTACCTAAGCCTGGGGAGTTGAGGGTGCAGTGAGCCAGGATCATGCCATGGCACTTCAGCCTGGGTGACAGAGTGAGACCTTGTCTCAAAAAAAAAAAAAAACAACAACAACAAAAAAAGAAACAAACTGGTGTGACTGCTTCTAACAGACTATGCTTGGATGTGGAAGCAAAGAAATAAGTTGGAACTTCTATTTAAAAGGTAACCAGAACATAAAAGTTGGGAAAGTTTGCATCCTGCAGCCTGGCGATCTGGTAGGGAAAAAAAAAAAAAAAAAGGCCTATGTTCAGAAGAATTCAAGCGGGCTGCTGAGTAACCACATGCTAGAGAAATTTGTATAACTAAAAAGGAGGCAAGTGCTGACATCCCAGACAATAAAAAGGCTTGAAGGCATTTTAGAGATCTCAGAGGCAGCCCATCCAAACACAGGATCAGAGGCCCAGGGAAGAATGGTTTTGAAGGCCAGGCCCAGGTCTGCACTGCCCTGCACATCCTCAGGACACTGCTCCCTGCCTCTTGGCAACTCCAAATCCAGCTGTGGCTTAAAGGGTCCCATGTGTAGCTGTGGCTGCTGCTCTGACAAGTGTAAGTCGTAAGCCTTGGTGACTTCCACATGGTGTTGTCTGCTGGCATACAGAATGCAAGAGTGAATGAGGGCGTGGCACCATCCACCTAGATTTCAGAGGATGTATGGAAAAGCTTGTGTGTCCAGGCAGAAGCCTGCTGCATGGGTGGAGCCCTCACAGAGACCCTCTACTAGGGTGGTGTAGAGGAAAAATGTGGGGTTGGAGCTCCCACACAGAGTCCATAGTGGGGCATTTGCTAATGGAGCCACCATCCTCCAGACCCCAGAATGGTAGATCTATTGGCAGTTTGCACTCTGCACATGGAAAAAACTGCAAGCACTAAACTCCAGTCAGTGAGCTTTGGGAGCTGAACCTTGCAAAGCCACAGAGGCAGAGCTGACCAACACTTTGGGAGCCCATTGCTTGCACCAATGCCCTGGATGTAGGACATGGAGTCAAAGGAGATTATTATGGAGCTTTAAGATTTAATGATTGCATTGCTGGGTTTTGAATATGCATGGAGCCTGTAACACCTTTCTTTGTGCCTATTTATCCCTTTTGGAATTGGGTTTGTTACCAAATGCTTGTACTCCCATGGTATTTTGGAAGTAACTCTAAACTTGTTTTTTACTTTACAGGTGGAAGAAATTTACCTTGTCTCAGATGAGACTTTGGACTTCGGACTTTTGAGATAATGCTGGAATGGGCTAAGACTTTAGGAGACTGTTGGGAAGGCATAACTGTATTCTGAAATGTGAGAAGGACGTGAGATTTGGGAGTGGCAAGGGGTGGAATAATATAGTTTGGATACGTGTCCCTTCCCAAATCTCATGTTGAATTGTCATCCCCAGTATTGGAGCTGGGGCCTGGTGCGAAGTGATTGGCTCATGGGGGTAGTTTTCTCATGAATGGTTTAGCACTATCCCCTTGGTGCTGTCCTTGCAAAAGTGAGTTCTCATGAGATCCGGTTGCATAAACGTGTGGGGCATCTTGCTCTCACTCTCTCTTGCTTCTTCTCCTGCCATGTAGGATGCCTACTTCCCCTTCGCATCCCACCATGATTGGAAGATTCTAGAAATCTCCCAAGAAGCACATGCCACTGTGCTTCCTCTATAGCCTGCAGAACCATGAACCAATTAAACCTCTTTTCTTTATGAATTACCCAGTCTCAAGTATTTCTTTATATCAGTGCAAGGATGGACTAATACAGGGCCAAGCAGACCATGGTCCCTTAGGATGGTCAACTGATTTATATTGCAAGGTGAGATCAGGGATTAACACCTAGAGGTTGAAGGATTCTTTTTTTATTATTGCTTCAGCTCTTCTTTTGACTTAGCCACCTCTTCCAGGGCATCAGCCTTCCTGAAGAAACTTTGGGGTAAGAGCAGTTGAGAAAGCAATGAAAATAGCTTTCAGGTTTCAGGGTATTATTTCAAGGTCTCAGGACTTCAGAGACCTCAGTCCGCAGAAAACCAATTACCTTCTTGTGCCAGATCCATCACTCATCAGTGCTATGATTCTAGGCAGACCACTTCAAATCTCTCCATTTCACTTCCCTGAACTCTCAAATATGGGTTGTAGCCCTTCCTTTGCCCATTCCTCCTGGCTAGTGTAAGCATCACAAGAAATAACAGATATTCTCCGTGAGCTGTAAAGCATCATGCCCATGGAAAGAAAGAAGAAAATTCCATCCTCCACTCCCCTGGAGCCATCCACGTTTCTTCTCTGTATTCAACCATTACCAAGGTTCTGGTGTATTCTTGTAGACATATAATGATCGAACACTTTAAGGCACTTATAGATTACCACTCTTCTAAAGGCTTTACCTCCATTTCACCATTTTTAGCCTTATAACATAACATAGGCCATATTAACATTTCAATACCACAGAACAGGGAACTGAGGCACAGAGAGGTCTCTATAACTTTCTCAGGTTTGTGCATCTTCTAAGTAGGACTTGAACCTACATCTTTATGCACCAGGCCCAGTGCTCTTGGTCACTCCAATATTTCTATATTGTCTCATTTCAATACAGGTGTTTGCCTACATCATCAGTCTGTTGGTTATGAGTGCAACCTGCACTGCAGGTTCTTGTTAAAACCCAACTGAGATTCAGGGGTTTTGCTATGCAGATGGTGAATAATGGGTCAAACATTTAAGCTGTAAATAAACAATTACTCATTTCTCTGTGACCTCTGGCAGGAATTTGTCAAAAGCTGTCTTTTTCATTGTACACTTCCCAGC